ATTTATTGCTCACTTTGTCTAAACTCTTGAATGCTATTGCACTGCATTCTTTTGTCCTGCTCCACCTCATCATTTCAAAATAGGTTGCCTGTTTGTTTAAAAGTACAGCAAAAACTTTAAAGTCTTGAGGAGAGAGATGCCATGTATTTACTGTTATGATGTACAGTTTGCCAGTTCGATTTCAACTGCCTTGTTGCACCACATTGAGAAACTCTTTGACTCTTCATCTCCCCTGTCTTCTAAACTAGCAAGATATAAACAGGAAAAGGGGGTGACACCTTTTGTTTGATATTGTTTGACTCTCAAGTCAGTTTGGGCTCTGATACTAATAACTTCCTGTTTTGCTGTAAGTCTTCAAACAAGTGAAGAGCCTGCATGTGCATTCACTTTTCAACCTGAACTTAAGCAACTACATGACTAGCATGTTCCCAGGCTCTGGGCTACAAATTCCAGTTTGCTGCTTACCTCCAGGCCAAATTTTTAGAACTGGGAGTCAAATCGCTGAAAATCGGGTGCCTAAAGCCACAGTTGGTTGCCAAAATGCAAATGACCTGACAGCCACAACAGCTGAACACCTGCTGACCCCTATAAGAAGCTTGAGACTCGAGAGGCCAGAATCTATACAAATTAGACTAATTTCATATTTTAACTCAAATAAGGATCCTAATTTGAAATGCTGGACTGCTAGGGGTGTGCTCAGAAGCTAGAAACAGAAAAGAGGATCTGCAAAAATATGGAGAAAGATACATTTGTGTAATATCGCTTGTGCAACATGCTTGTGAAATGTAATATGTATTGCATTGCATTTTTTTCACAGATGCTTAAAATACCAAGACTTTTCCAGCTATCTAAATAATTTTCCCTGTGAACTGAACTGCTTCCTCTGGATAATACACTGTTTTTCTACCTGCTGGAGAGGTGGAGTCCCCCTGAATGTACTGCTGCTCTGCATAACCAGAACTGTCTCCTGAACACAGAGAAAGACAGAACAGCTTGGACTTAGCAGTCCTGTGAGATTTACAAATCAAACCAGCTAATCAAGATTTAAAACAGCTCTGGATTGAAAAGACTAGCAAGTGGTCCAGCTGTGAGTTAATTCATTAGTTGCAGTAAATATCACTAGAAGAGCTTGTCAAAAGGAAATGTGAAGCAGCTGAAAAGAATCATCCTTAAAGTGAATGTCATAGGCTTTTGCAGCTGTCATCCAGTGGACTGGAGATTCCAGGCATTGGAGAGAAAATGAGGGTGAAAGAAATAAAAATTTGAGTACAGAGGATAAAGTACTAGTTCCCACTGAGTGATTATAAAGGAAGCAATCTTACCACTACAGGGACCTAATTAGAGACTGAATCTCACAACTGTCTAATGTCTCCCCCAGGACTCTGAGAAACCCGAACGAGCTAACACAGTCCACTCAGACCAGCAGCACTAGGAGGCTCTGCTGCTTCAGGGTGCACTGGAATGCCACATTTATGTAGCTGTGGGCATTTTCCGGTGTTCTTGTGTCCTGTTCAGCACTCGCTTAGAACCAAAGCAGCAACACTGTTTTCTTGCCTGGCCAGTACAGCATCATCTTGGTCCTACAGAAGGCAACAATGGGCTTCTAGTGCCACATACCTGAGTATCCCTAAAGAAAGGCATTGTACCCATTGTACCAGGCAAATATAAGAGTTAGTTGTCAGCATTAACAAAAGAGAATTTCACATTTCTATGACTGATCTGATGAATCACTACTTTTCTTGCTCCCCAAAATGTGTAGATCAGGTGTGAGTCTTCAGGCCTTCCTGGAGTCACCAGTGCTGTCAGTCAGGGCTTGCGTGTATCAATTCGCTTAAGCCTGGGTACAGGGCTCAGCTCTCCCACCTTGATCCACCTATTGCTTGTCTGAGACACTGTTACCCTTCTTTGCATCCTTGTGGAAATGTGGAAACACTGGCCATAGTTTGAGGCTAACCTTTGGCAGCAATGCCCACTGCTTCTCTAGCTGCTCCTTCCAACTTCTGAGCTGCAGTGCATCACCTCATCATTGATGTGCCAAGCAGGGAATTCCCTGACTTAGGTTTTTTCTTTGGTGATTTCTTCTAAGCAGCAACAAGTTTTTGCTAGATTCTATTTATGACTGATCATTTCTGGACCCTGGTCCTCGGTATTTCCCTCCTGGTGCAAGAAAGCGCTGTGACAGCAAGTAGCCATGCTCTGGGGTCAGCAGTGGGGTGAGCAAGGAGGAATTTTTTTGCCTGGTATTGCCATGAAAGGCACGTTTAATGTAACCCTGTCCCCACAGAGTGATTCTGTTCAGGTGAGGCTTCAGGGAAGTACAAGGATCTCTTCCAGTATTACTGCTACTAGCAGTCACATTTTTCTGTAGCAGGATTTTCCAGGCATAGGGAAGGTCTGTGCCTTCTGAGACCACTCAGGTAGTTCAGTGCTCCTGGGAAGAAGAGGGATTACCGCACAGGTGCATCGTGTTTGCAGGGACAGTGGTTTAGAGGTCTCTTCTGAAGCTGGGAGGAGGTAAGTGACCTGCCCAGAGAGAGCTCAGCCAATATCTGACAAGGACATTTTCATAACCGAGATAAATAAACAGATGCCTTTTTTGCTCTAGGGAAATAATTTCTTCTTTGCTACTAGCCTGAGACCATTCACTTGGCTTAGCCTGTATCTTTACCATATGAAACAAGCCTGAACCATTTCATTTGAGGTTGTTATTTATTTGGGTCAATATGAAACATTTCTGGCATTTCTTTTCCATTTTCCCGCCTTTATATATTGCTGTCTTCACTCCTGTGTATATGTTTTCTTCTCTAACATCTCAGTTCTCCTCTCTTGTAATATTTTAAATTCTTAATTGCCTGATGCTGCAAATGGAGAGTATTAGTTACCTTCCATGACCACTCTGACCACAATGACTTCCTTTGCTTGACAGGCTGATTAATTTGTCAAGTTGAATGTTTAAGTCTGTCTGGAGTATCTCTGTGTATCTTGTGCAAGCTTGCAGTTGCAATTTTGTTCTTTATTGGACATGCTGTTTCTTCAGACACAGAATACCTCTGAGGGGCTTTTCTTCCCCCACTTCCCTACTGAGAGTGATGCTCCTGCAGTTTATACCAATGATCATATCCTGCATGTCCCCTAGAAGAGGGTAAACAGCAGGTGCAGCATGGAAGCCATAGCATCAGCAGTGCTTTCAGATTGTCCAGTGGATATAATTGAGGGAAAATACAAAACTCAAGTAAATTAAATGCATTTTATAGCAGTTCCTGAGGGAGAACAGACTGCATTGTTTGTGAGCTTCAATCCAGGTCAAGCAGGCCAGATCTTCCACAGAGAAGTTGCTGACTTTGGCCCCAAAATATCATTGTTAAGGTAAGAAAAACATCCAAATTTCTCTTAATTTTTCCTAGTTGGTACATTATAAAGGCATTCAGACCACTGTAGACATAAGCATTCAGGAAACAACACTAAGCAACACAAAGAACAAAAAACAGTAGGTACTTCCTGAGAAGTTTGGAAAACTGACTCTTATGCCACTGAGGGAGGGTAAGTCCTAATAGCTACAGTAGCCACATGTCACCTGGGACCAGAGTGTGAATGATTCTTTTGTAATATTACTTGGTGAATGTCTCAACATCTTGAGCTCATTGCAGAAGAGAAAAGAAAAAGCTGGACAGTGTTATTTTCTGGTGGCACTGGAACATTAATTTCTCTGTGATGGTATCCAACTGTCTTGGATATCTGAGCAGGCAGGTCAAAGGAAAGCAATGTGTAGACTTGTTTTTCGAAAGCACCTTTTTCCAGTAAGTATGAACTTATTTTCTTTTAGGAATAATATTTTTTCCTGGCATATTGTAACAGAAATAATAAAATAAACAAAAGTATGGTATACTTGTAAGATGAACCTCAGAGCTATACCGGGCAAGAAGCTGTCTCAAGGCAGCCTTCGTTTCCCCAGGGACTTGCACTCCAGCCACTCCCTGCCCTGGGCTAGTGTGCTGGGATGCCCTGGCGTGTCCCGTCCTGGGCTTCCCCCCCCCCCGCCCCCCCCCACGAGCCCTGCCACTTCCTGTCCTCGGAAAGGCAGAGGTGGTGGAGCAGGCTCCCAGCAACTACAGAGGAGCAGAGGGTTTCCATCAGGGTATCTCCTTGCAGGAGATGGAGAAGACACCTCTGCCACAGGGCTGCACCAGGGGCAGTCACAGGTTTCCCTCTACAGCTGGCAGCACTCTGCTTTTTCCCATCATTTATTATCTGATGTCTGTTTTTGTCTGTTTTGTGCTGGCTTTTGGGACACCTCCTCCTTGGGCTGCCAAGGATGGTGGCAGTGTCCTCACGCCGAGGGTATTGGCCCCGGCCCTGGGCACAAAGCGTCCATCCCCACTGCTCGCCTGACCCTCCCCTTGAGACCTACTTTTGCTGGGAGAAACAAGGTAACCTCGCCACTGAAAATAGCTGGGACGGCAGCCAGTGGAGATTAATGGCATCATTAACGTTCCCAGTTTATTTATAGGCTTAAAAATGCCTCAGACCTGCAAACTGAGCAGAGTTGTTCTGTGTAACACAGGGACTGACAGGTCTCCTGCTTCTGCCTTTCCCCTTCCTACTATTTCATTCTGATTGCTGGGACTGTAAAACCTCTGGAGCAGGGACTGTCTCTCATTGTGAACCTACTCTGTAAACCTTCCTAACTGGGGAGATGCACACAGATACTTTTTTCTTCCCAAGAATGCTGTATTTGTCTGGTCTCCTTCCTCCACCAACTCCTTCTGTGCACACTGTGTCCCATAGCCTTCTTCGGGAAAATTATCTTTTTGATGAATTCCTGAGGCACGAGCTGAGCGGTTGTCACAGGAATTTTCTGTGATTTTCTGCCTTGGGTTTTAAATTATGAGCTCTGTAAGAGGAGGACTAAGATTCTCATAGCTGTGGAGAGCACCTAGGATACGTAGGGCCCTAATGAGACAATGCAGATGCAATTAATGATCATGGAGGTCTTTCAACAGGAGCCAGCAGAGGCAACCCAGCTCCCGGCTCCCCCAGGAACCTCATGGGACTGGCAGGAAGAGAAAAAAACACCTCAGGTGTGTGGGCCCCAGAAGAGGAGTTTTCAGCACGTAACGTGTGGCCACATTGCCTGGCCTGTTTCCCAGCACTTAGTGAAAGGTAAGTGAGAAAGGAGACTTGTTGTCAGCAGGCACAAATCCAAGGGATTGGCTGTGTGACTGGTAGATGGCTTCATGGGTGGGGAAAAAAAAGTAAAAATGCCAGTAGGGAGCCCTTCCACCCAGAAATATGGAGTGCCAGCATGGCAGCTCATGGAGGTGATGTCACTTCAGAGGACAGCTAACTCTGCAGTTTGCTGTTGGGTTTTTGTTGTATCAATCTGAGATAAACTCCTGTGTCAGTCTCTCCTTGGCCTTTTTCTTCTAGGGGGTGAAATAAAGAACAGGCAGAGAATCACTCAAACCACTGTTGTCTTTTTTTTCCCTCTGGACAATGAGAATACTTCAGAGCAGAGTGAAGGAGCCCAAAATGGTAGAAGGAGGATTTCTCTGCCATGGCCACAACAGGTGAAGCCACAACCCTGGGAGGCCCTGATCCACCAATATCTGGTGGATTTGAGGTATCTCAGGGCCTTACTTTCCCCTTCCCAGCTTTCCCACTTGGGTTCTTGGCTCCAGATCTCCTCCATCCCTCCTTGGCCATGCCCCAGCTCTCCCGTCTGGGGAGGACAGTGCCTGCTCAGAATCTCACTGTCCATGGCTGTTAAATGGGACCATGATGTGTTCAAGTGCTCAAGGCCAGGTTGGATGGGGCTCTGAGCAACCTGGTCTGGTGGAAGGTGTCCCTGCCCATGGCAAGGAGATTGGAACTACATGATCTTTAAGGTCTCTTCCAACCCAAACCATTCTGTGATTCTATATAGTCCTTTGAAGGACAAAAGCATGAGTGCAGTTATTCAGCCATCCAAAGATCCTAACTGGGAGAGTATTTTCATGTCTGATATACATGAGATCCTGTATCATTTTAAAGGATTCAAGAAAAAGTCAGGTCATGTGCAACATCTGAGACAAAGTGGGGAAAAGGTAATATCTAACTGTATTTATTTATTCTAGGAGAGAGATACATCTTATACAGTTGTTTCTCATCTAAACTCCTGAGCACCTAACCAGAAAAGTCAGCACAACTTTCTCACTTACACTGATGTCAGACTAGGGGAGTGAGTCTTGTGGCAAAAGGGACCATCTGCATCTCAAACTAATTACCTGCTTTGAAAAGTGAATATACAAAGTGGTAAGTTTTTTTAACAAGGTGGCTAAGCCATTTCAGCTCTGGGACACCTATCTCTTGGACGTCAGTGCTACACAGTTTCTGTGGAATTGCTCACCCCTGATACAGAAAGCAAGAGCTGTGATTTTTTTCCTATTTCAATGGGCTACACCCAGTTGTAACCATATTTAACCTTCCTTTTTCTTTCTGCCAACACTGGGTGGCACTAAGTAACTCCTTCTGAAGTTTTACAAAATTGACTCTAAAATCTTGAATCACACTGACTTGGCTCCACTCTGTCCTGACAGCAAATGGTTTTGTGTGAGAAACTTTCGATCATGTGGTTGTTGCATAGAAACGTCTGACTTGTATGGCATGTTTTGTAGTTCCCTGGTTTGTTAAGTTGTTAAAGCCCCTCTGAATCTCTGACCTCACAGTCTGGTAAAGGTTCAATGTGCTGTTGGCCTTGAAAGCCACATTTCCTGTATTGAGTTGAGAATTGATGGAATACTTGAAAATAACTGTGCTTTATGCCAGAGGTTTAAATAAATCTCACTCAGTGGTTGAGGTTGGAAAGCACCTCTGGGGATTGCCTAGGCCAAGATCTCCTCTGCTCAAACAGGGTCAGCCAAAGCAGGTTAAACCAGGTGGTCCCCAAAGGGTTCAAGGAGTCCCTCACCAGCCCCAATGTCTTCTTGGCCTGGACACTGCCATGTTTGCTGGCCGCCACAGCCAGCTGCACACTGTAAAAGTCCTGCTAAAATAAATCAACTTTAAAAGAAGCACACCTACAAACACCTGGCTTTCCCCCCCACTGGCTGTGCTCGACCTACAAGTGCCAAGGCTGCCATTTTAGCAGCCTGTTATGGCTCCAGTGGGCTTTGGGGGACCCTGGTGACTGATGCTGGTGCCTATGGTGATGGAGGGGGGAAAAAATCAGGGCCAAGTAGTTTGTCCTCAGAGGACATCCCAGATCTAGTGGGTGGCATCTATGCCCATGATGAGGATTTGGAGCTAGATGATCTTTAAGGTCCCTTCCAACTCAAGCCATTCTATGATTCTGTTATTTGTGGCCATTCTCAGCTAAGCCACCTGTAAAGTCCCACTGCCATGTCCTGGTAACAAACATTAGCGTTACTGTGTTTATATTTGTCCCTAGGAAGGTGTTTAAAATATAAAAGACAACAGATGGCATAACCCGATGGGGTCATAAAGATTTGTGTCCTGAAAGCAAGGACATAGAAACACCAATGATAGTAGTTAAAAATCCTTGATATGGAAATTAAGTAACCAAATCCTGATTTGGCCAAGCTGAGGGCAGTGGGAGAGGTGTGGCTGAGGAAGAACCTGCCCACAGTGGGCAGAAGAGAGACGAAGTCTGCTGACGATCCTTGATGTCTCCAAGCAGAAGAGCAGGCAGATAGTAAGACCAGCTGGTGGCTACGTTAGAGCCAGAGCAGAGATGATCATACATGAAGCACTACCTACAGCTTCCCTTCCCACTCCTGTTGCAGTGGGAAGGGAATCATGGCTGGGCTTCACGAACGAAGATTTGGGAAGGGCTCTACCCACGTTTGTTACAAGCGTGCTGGTGGCTAAAAAGGCCGATATGAGACAGGCACGTCCGGTTGCAAAAGGCACAGCAGAAAGACTCCTTAGGTGGTATGCAAATGTGGGTAAGGCCTTCGAGCCTGCTCAATGGATTTTTTAGGTGAGACACAGTATGTGTGGAACTGAACCCACCCTTTAATCCTAAGGTTCATCTGCCAGGGCCGAGTGAGCTTGGACGGTGGCAGCGAGGTCCTCGGGACGTAGGTTTGTTTAGAGTGACCTTCTCTTAGATGGATGGCCTTACAGGGCTAATCAAGCTCCATCTGCCCGGGTTTAGAGTTGTCCTTCTCTTCTGTGTGCTCTGAGGCTCCCCCTCTCATCTCCCATGAGGGCACAGTCCGTGCCGGCGAAGCTCCCCCTCTCTCTCTCCTTTCTGCACCCAGGGCCGGGGCCACACCACGCGCCCGAGTTCCGGGCCAGGCCGGGGCCACGCCGTCACCACAATGGCCCCGGTTATTCATTGTGGGAAGGTTATTCAGTGGGAAGGGAATACAAGTAGATCAAATGATTTCTGAAGAACAGTTTATTCATTGAAAAACACAATTTCTGTTTGAGCAAAGCTATCTGACAATTGGTGCGCAATCCATTTATCAGAATTAGCCCAGAAAATTAAAAACATCAAAGTTACTTGCTTTTTTTTTTTAAACCTTTTTTGAAGCTGATCTCACAAGGAAGCCTCAGCTGGAGTGAGGATTTACCTGATGTGCTACATCTTCAGGCTGTGGGACAGCCTGCAACAGGGCTCTTCTAATCCTCTTGCTTGGAGTATAATGTTGTCTAAATTACTTACACTGTTTATTGGACTAGGTAGAGCAGAAATATGTGTGGGGCTAAACTGCCTGACCCAGAGAGCTGCCCTGGGATCTGGGAGGTAGTGGATGAGAGTAATTGTGTCAGAGTAGAGTTGGCTGCTCAGGGCCAGCCAACATGAAGTAGATTGGCCCTGACTGCATGACATGGCACTTGACTCCAGCTTAGCTTGGCCCTGTGTGTTGTGCCTATGGACCTAAGAGAAAACTAATATTTTTTTAGGTTTGGTGTTTTCTTGTCCCAGCATAATATGCCCAGGATAATGAAGACAATGCTATAGCTCACCAGTGTTGGGATTCCATAGGGTGTGTTGCATGCCCTGAACTGAGGAATGAGAGCATTCAGAGAGCTGGAGGATAGAAAGGCTGAAGGGACCATGCTGGAGGAGCATCATGAGGGAAGGGAGACAGAGCTTGTCCATGTCACTCTTGAAAGTTGTCCCTGGAGTAGCTATGCCCAAAGCAGCGCTGCTTGGCGGATGGAGGGAGCTGCTTGTCCAGGTCCAGAGGACAACATAGGTATGTGCTAGGAACAATCAAGGATGAAGGCCCACAAGTCAGATGGGGAGTTATTTCTGACATTGTAGGTGCATCTGACAGGCATATCTACATCACCAGCAACAAAGAGATGGACTCCAGCCCTCAACTTATGCTTATTCTCTGCTGGGCTCTCTGCTAACTCTTAAGATCTGGTTTGGATCCCTACAAATAGCTGTTTCCAAGACAAATTCTATCCTCCAGAAGCAAGCTCTAGGCATGGTGCCTGTGAGCTCAGCAGTGCCATTCTGCCCTGGCCTGCTTGTATTGAGCAGCATAGGCACGGCCAGGCTAAGCCAGTCTCCTGCCTTGCTCTCCTCTCTCTCTACATGCCTCAGGTGCTGCCTGGCACACTGGGTGTGATACTGCTTCTAGGAAACCTTTTTTAAAATACTTTTCCATATGAGAAACAGAAGGGGGTTGAATTTTCATCCTGTGTGCTCTGAGCCTATGTTGTAGGCAGTGGGTTATAGCGGGTGATAGCTTCTCTTCATAGACCTTGGGGCTGAGGATAAAGTCTCCTTGGGAATCTACCCTTCCATTTCTGTGAGGGGGTTGGCATTGACCTGTACCATGCATTTTTAGCTTTTAGTTTGACTACCAAACAGAAAATCAATTATTGGCAGATCTGCCTTGTCAAATAGACAAAGGCCTAGAGAGGCAGAAGGTCTTTGGAGAGAGGCCCTGGCTTTTCAGGGATCGTGAGGCTTTGTGCAGAATTCAGAGGATGAACCTCACTATCCAAGAGGGTAACTTGAGGAAAGGGAGTTGCACAGGATTTTTCTGTTGCTGTAGGAACCTTCACTGTAATTCAGCTCATGTTGATTAACCCTGGATGCTAGATTCTTAAAAAGTGATTAGTGAGATCATACTGGAAATAGAAACAGATGTGCCATCTGTTATGCAGTGTATGGGGTTTAGAGGGAGGTTTTTCTGAAACATAGTTGATCCCAACACTGAAATGAGACTTCACTGCTGTCACCTTCCCATTATGTCCCCAGAAGCTAAGCATCCCTTTGAATGTATGAAGAGAACTGGTGGAATTTGCTGTCAGTGGATTGGTTCTGTAGTTCTGGCCAGTGAAGAGGTTGAGAGCTGAGCTCAGCCTTTAGAGAAAGCCACAATATAGGACTTTGCATCAGAGACACTTTCCAAACACCTGAAATCCCAGATCAGGAAATCTAGGCTTCATTCTGAACTTGTGCTTTTGCCTCAGACAATCTTTTCCCTCAGTGAAATGTAAACACTGAAAGGTTAGAGGTGGTTTTTTTCAATCATTCTGCAGACTTGTTGCTGTGCTCTTATCCCTGCCCCCAATACTCTCCCTTCAAATACTCTCCCTTCATACTGTAGGCACTCACTGCAGATCTCAAGGATTATCAGAAGCACTAAGCAG